TTTATTCATTTTGTCGTATCTCTGCACTTTTTTTTGTGTGTGTGCCAAAGTAGCCCGCAGATCACAATGAAGTTCCTTAAGCCTGGCAAGGTGGTGATCATGACCTCTGGCCGCTACGCCGGCAAGAAGGCGGTGATTGTGCAGAACACCGACTCCAAGAGCAAGGAGCGCCCGTACGGCCACTCGCTGATTGCCGGTATGAAGAAGTACCCGAAGAAGGTTGTTCGCGGCATGAGCAAGCGCACCATTGAGCGCCGCTCTCGCGTGGGCGTGTTTCTGCGTGTTGTGAACCACAAGCATTTCCTGCCGACGCGGTACAACATGGACCTGTCGAAGGAGCTCCGCGGCCGCATCAACGTGTCAGACGCGGCAAAGAAGTCCAAGTCGAAGCAGCTGGTGAGGAAGCTGTTCCAGGCCCGCTACAACGCCGGCAGCAACCGCTGGTTCTTCCAGCGTCTGCGCTTCTAGGGTGCTACCTGTGAACTACATTGGCTTTACTTTGCTGTTTTAATTCTTTTATTTTTGTTTTTGTTTGTTGATTGGTTTTTCCCCTGCTTCTGTTGCCTCTTTGAGGCTTGTACGGTTTGGCCCTCCCAGCCATGCCGTTGAAATCTCAGCGCTGCCGTGCTGCGGACACATCCATGTTTCTTTTTTTTTTCCGTTTTTTATTTTTTTTATTTTGAATTTGTTCGTTGTATTCATCCAGTTGCTTTCTGCCTCCGTTGGACAATGGTGACGCTGCGACGGAAGGCAGCCACAGCTGATGCACACCCGGGCTGGAGGGGGGCGGCGCGTCCGCACCGCTTACTCCCGTGACACTGTCTTTTTTTTTTTGAGCGTTTACTCGGGAGTGGACAATCGTATTCCAGTGGTTTATACCCTTCGCCTTTCATGCGGATGGCCGGGGTGCGACCCCCGGTGCTTGCAGTCTTTTTTGCTTTTATTCTTTGCTTACCCACCGCACAAAAACGAGGGGATTTCCCGCGCGATGGCAAAGACGACGTGGTGAGATTCCAAACACGGAGACAAGGCACGCGGTGCCTTTTTGGAGTTGCTGGTACTTCCATACGCGATACGGCACTGTGGCCCTACGCTGTTTTGTTGGGTGGCAGTGGTGGTGCTGGGGGAATCGCCAGTGAGGCGTGAGTTGCGTTGCTTTTTCCTCGCTGAGTCTTTTTGGGATGGAAGCGGAGGTTGTCGCCTCAAGGCGCGAATGCGTCTCTTTATTGCCAGTTACGACGTATACGTATTTGCCGTTTGCTAATGACAAGAGGGGTTGCCACCTACTTCTGTGTACATGTGCACACGAATAGTTGTGGTAACTCTCTCTTACTCTTTAAGGGGGAAAGAGAGATAGGTGCGGGATTCTTAGCTCCCTTGGCGAATACACTTTGGGCTTCTTTTTGTCTTGTTTTTGTTTCGTCCTCCTCTCGCTCTCTTTGTACTTTTGTTAGTTTATTTTTCCTTTCCCCTCCCCCCCATTCCTCTCAACTCTCCCCTCATGCTAGTTCGCTTTCCCTCAGTTTCCGGATTCCCTAGCGGCTTCTACAGAAGCGGGTGGGGGGACACTAGGGCTGGGGAAGGCGTTTGGACGGGAGTGAGACGCGGATTAATAAAACATCTGTGGCTCTGCCTTTGCAGTGAGGATGCTAAAGTTGCATCACGCGGTGCGGCTTCGGCTTCTCGCCCAGCGGGTGAGCGTTGCTGGGATTATTGGTCCTTCCAATAGTGGGATGGCTGTACACGCCTTGCGCCAACTTGGCGTCTGCAACGTGCATGACTGCGAGCTTCTGAAGCGCATCGACGAGGTGTACCCGCAGGCTGATCTCCGTTCTCGAGCCAACATGTTCCACTGCCTGGCGTGTTGCGTTCGTGAGCGGCTCTCCCTCCATGAGGGGCTACCGAAGGCGCTGCCTCCTCTATTGACGAAGATGCAGGAAAGTATGCTGGGCGATGTGGATGAGCTTTCCCCCACGGAGTGCATTTTAGTGATGGAGGGGGTTGTGAAGTTGACACCCTACCGCTGTGCCTCGCCACGGTTAGAAGCTGTGCTCCGTGGTCGCTCAACCGCACTTGTCGATGTTGTGAGTAACCCCGTCGAGCTCATTGGCATTGCCCGCATTGTTGTGGAGGCGACGCAGGAGCCTCACACCCACGCCGCGGGAGTCGATGGAGAGCCAGGGGGGGAGTACCACCTGCACCCTGGATGGTCGCAGGAACTGCGTGAGATTAGTGGGACGATTGAGTCGCGCCTAGATTCGTTTGGCAAGCAGGATCTGCTTACACTAGTGGATGCAGTCACGCTCTGGGTTGCGCCAAGGACAGGGAAAAGTACTCTGGCGGGGGAGGATGCAGGGCGGGGTTTGAGTGAACATCCCATTCGCGATGTCGCTGACGAGTGCCGGCCGCTGTTGTTGCAGGTATTGAATGGCACGAGACAACGTATCACGACACTGTCTCCTTCACAGGTGAGTGCTTGGCTGCTTCGTGTTGTGCGTCTCCACCGGCAGCATCACCCGCTCTTCATGTGCCTTCTTCAGCAGCTGGATGAACAGCACGTGCGGTCTGCCTTGTCACTTGCACAGCTGTCGACGTGCATTGAATCTCTAGGGGGGACCATGCGTGTTTGCCATGAAGAAAATACTTTGAGTTGCACGGAACTGCAGTTTGTTGCGCGTGTTGTGGCGGAACTTCTAGAAGCATTGGTGTACTCTTTGGAGCAGAGTGGGGGGTCTAGCCACGATTGCTCAATGTACCTTGTACCTGCGACGCTTTCGCTATCGGAGGGAGTCGTGTCTGGAAGGGTGGTGGTGTCACGCCCATTGAGTAAACGTTTATTCCGCATGCTCTACCGCCGCTTTGGCATACTCACGCCGCGAGAGCGTGCAGATATCGTGACTGCCGTGTTCCACTGGGGTTTGCTGAGTCAGGAGCCCACACGACAGCAGCAGCGGGATCATGGTTCGTTGCAAAACGGTGGGAGAGATGTGTTCTCCCCAGCTTTGTGGTGTGACGCCGTGTTGGCCAACATTAACGCCTACAACACTTTGGATGCGCTGCAGATTATGAACGAGGTGTCTGCCGTCGTGTATGCGGAGGGGGGCAGGGTTGAGACCAACACGTACAACCTGGCGTTAGTTCGGCCCATGCTGCTGCAGTTGCATGAACGGTTGCAGGGACAGCAGAAGGAGCTTCACGCGGTTACGTCCTCTTGTCTCACTCGTTACTTGACGTCTATGTCCAAATTGGGGCTGCGCCGCAAGGCAGACTATTATGTCGTGCTGAAAATTCTACAACAGCGCGAGCTCACAAACTTTGAAAGTCTCCGGGCGCTTGGTGTTGTGGCACGTCACCACCTGCGCGCTGTGCCGCTGATCACAAACACGGTGCGTTCTATTCCATATCTGGCATCATCGCTGCATCCGAAGCAGAAGTGTCTCCTACTGAAATGCCTTGGACAGGTGCGGGCGCAGCGCCTTGTGCGGGCACAACACCACTCCTCCCTGGCGCTTGGAATGTTTTTGATGCGTGACGAGGTGTTGAAGAAGGTTTCGATGCTGAGTGCCATATTCGCCTTGGTAGGCCTCGTAGAGCTGCGGCAGTTTGAGAACGAAACGATTGATCTTCTTCTTCAAGGTCCGCTCTCTCGGCACGATGAATTTGCCAAGGTCCGTTCCTCAGCAACACTCAGTGAACTTATTGCCGCACTGTGCCGTGTCGACCGACACCGCGTGCCGACAACGACTATACAGGCTGTTCTGAGCGCGGCTGTGGGTCCGTTGGCAACCTCACGCAGCTTTTTTGTGGACCTGGCGGACGTCTCCTCTTGGCTGCAGTTAGTGAAGGAGCGACCTTCGTTGGGGTCTGACGTGGCAGGCAATGATCAGCTCCATTGTAGTGAAAATGAAAAAGTGGAATATATGGCAGCAGTGACAAACTACGTCTCTGTGGCAGCTGCAATCGCCAAAACGCGCCTTCTGGATATCGCTGGCTCCAATGCTCTGAAACTCAACACGTTCCTGTTCAGCCAGATGGCGATAGGCTACCGATTAGGCGTGTCTCTGCCACCTACGAGTGAAAGGATTCTCTCGCACCATCTGGACACGAAACACCTTCCACAGCTTCTCAGTGACCCACGGCAGGTGGTAGGTGCTGTGACAACTGCTTGTCATATTTGGCGTGTTAATCCAGAGGCAGCGGTGGAGGTGTTTCTCTTTGCCGAGAAGAATTACGGCTCGTTGGGCGCCCAAGAGGCACTGTTGCTTGGCATAGAGATGACGGAGGCCTTGCGTGACGCTGATGCATCGGCGGAGCAGGTAGTGGAGATGATGCGTAGGCTGCAGACGCTGGCCTGGCAAAGCTTGAAGGACGCACGCCGACTGAAGAAGTTGAGCGTGCAAGAGGTAGCCCTTGGCGCTCGTTACGGTGTTGTAGCGGAGGCCCCAGGTGTTTCCGCTCCTCATTGAAAAAGTTATGGCGACCACAATACTTTTTCACTTTCATTTTCACCTTCACTTTATTGTTTGTTTTTTGTTACCTGCGCATGTGCTTTTATTCTTTTAGTTTCCCCATTGGTAGAGTGGTTCAGTGGCATCATTTCTCTTTTTTTTTCTCATTTCATTTATGTTGATGGGGATTGATTGCTTGCTGTCTGAAGGGAATTGATAGTCTCTGGCTTCTAGCACCAATGAAGTTCCTTAAGCCTGGCAAGGTGGTGATCATGACCTCTGGCCGCTACGCCGGCAAGAAGGCGGTGATTGTGCAGAACACCGACTCCAAGAGCAAGGAGCGCCCGTACGGCCACTCGCTGATTGCCGGTATGAAGAAGTACCCGAAGAAGGTTGTTCGCGGCATGAGCAAGCGCACCATTGAGCGCCGCTCTCGCGTGGGCGTGTTTCTGCGTGTTGTGAACCACAAGCATTTCCTGCCGACGCGGTACAACATGGACCTGTCGAAGGAGCTCCGCGGCCGCATCAACGTGTCAGACGCGGCAAAGAAGTCCAAGTCGAAGCAGCTGGTGAGGAAGCTGTTCCAGGCCCGCTACAACGCCGGCAGCAACCGCTGGTTCTTCCAGCGTCTGCGCTTCTAGGGTGCTACCTGTGA